TGTAATGGGGCTGGAGTGTTTTTTTTGTTCTTGTTTTTTTTTTTCCTTTTGGCATGTTTGAGTTTCTTGTAGATCCTAGATGTTAGGCCTTTGTCAGATTTATAGTTGCCAAATATTTTTCCCCATTCTGTGAACTGTCTCCCTGCTCTCTTGATGGTTTCTTTTGCTTTGCAGAAGCTTTTCAGTTTACTGAGGTCCCACTTGTCTATCTCATCCCTTATGGCATGGACACCTGAGGTTTTGATCAGGAATTGGTTGTCTACTCTGATATCTATAAAGATGTCTCCTGCATTTTCTAAGATTCTTATAGTTTGAGGTTTTACATTTTGGTCTTTGGTCCAATTAGAGTTGATTTTTGTGTATATTGACAGGTAGGGGTCTTGTTTCAATCTTCTGCATGTGGTCATCCAGTTTTCCCAGCACTATTTACTGACTAGGTTCTCTTCTCCCCAGTGGTTATTGGTGGAGGCTTTGTTGAAGATGACTTGAGAAATTGAGGTTTTGCTTCCGGAACCTCTATCCTGTTCCATTGATCTATATGCCTGTTCTTGTATCAATGCCAGGTTGTTTTGATTATTGTAACATTTTAGTAAAGTCTAAAGTCTAGAAATGTGATACATCCCGCTTGCTTTGCTTCTTTTGCTAAGGATTGTTTTGGCTATTTGTGGTCGTTTATGTTTCCATATGAATTTTTGTGTTGTCATTTCCAGGCCTGAGAAGAATGATATTGGTAATTTAACGGGTATAACGTTGAATCTGTAGATTGTCTTTGGTAGGATGGACATAATAAGGTATATTCTAATGTCAAGCATTTTAATCAAACTTCCCCAGAATCATGTCTCTTTCATTTTTCAGATTTAATTTTTGCATAGTTTCAGGAAAACATTTTTTTGCTATCTTTGTAAACATTTTCTATTCTACTTTTTGAGTTTATTTTAGAAGCACCAATTATCTTTACAGGGAATTGTCTTTGACTACTTTCTGTATCTGTTAGTTTCTTCCTGGCTGACTTAATTGCTTTATCTTTCCATTCACTTTTACTATGAATGCCATAATTTTCTTCTACATAATGTGTATTGGTAATATTGTATCTATATAGTTTCTTTCTTTTTGGCATTAGTTTATATTAGCTTTATTTATGTCCTTTATTCTGAAAAGAAATCTTTCTTTTCATAAAACTACATTATTTTTTTCACATCTTTTTTTGGCTCTTTGTCATTGAATCATTTTACATGGTCTATAGCTCTAAGTACCTGTAAAGAATTTATTTCTATTTAGTTTCTTTTTATTCTCAAATTAGTTGTCTTTTTTTTTTTTTGCCTGTAACTTTTACACATTGTCTTTTCTTCTCATCTTGATCTCATAGTACATTTTCATTTTTTTCCTTAGTATTCATATATGATACCTCTGTCTCTATATTTTGTTTTATTTTATTTATTAAGTCATGGTTTCATTCTGTCATCCAAACTGGAGTGCAGTGGCACGATCATGGCTCGCTGCAGCTTTGGCCTCCTGGGCTCAGGCAATCCTTCTGCCTCAGTCTGCTAGGTAGCTGGGATTACAGGTGTGTCCCACCATACTTAACCAAGTTTTTTTATTTCTTGTAGAGACAAGGCCTTGCTATGTTGCCTAGGCTGGTCTCAAACTTCTATGCTCAAGCAATCCTCCCAACTCAGCCTCCCAAAGTGCTGGGATTGCAGGCATGAGCCATCATGCCTGGCATTATTTGTTTCTTGAGTCTAGTGGGGCTAGTGACATGTCCAGTTGGGATTTGCTTGTACTCTTCAGTTTTTACAGTGGAGGTGGGGGTGGGTGAATATAACAGGAAATAATCTGATGGCCGATTTTCTGTACATAGGTAGTCCTCCTTCCTTGCTGGTGATGCCATAAGAACTTTATTCTATTTTCCTGTTCTAATATCCCTGAGTATAGTTGTCACCTAAAGGAACACCAGGTGCTACCGCTACATAATGGTCTTAGTGTGTTTGATACATGTCATGGTAGGGATCTGTGTTATGGAACATGGTTCATCCCTCCTTGCTGACCCCATGACAGTTCATCTTCTGATTGGTTGCTTCTGGACCCCTCATGGTAGATTCTCCCACCTCTAGGCATATAAACTTGCAGCTCAAGTCCCATCAGTGTTGCTCCCATCTCCTGTGGTTATACTTTGTACACACTTATTTATTTAACTCAGAAGTTCACTTTACTATGCACTCCCTTTTTTGTTGTTTTGTGATTTTTTTAGGAGATCTTAATAAATTATGGTCTATAAAACTAAACTTCTGTTTTCAAGCAAAGCCATGTTTGTTTGTTTTTTTCAACTATATTTTCTATTGTTTCTAGAGTTTGGGCCAGAGAGAAGAAACATTCTAAGTCTTCTGATTTAAAACTGAAGACCAACCTACTTTTGACTTAGTAAGAAAGATATCCAGTGCCTTTGTGAGAGTTCTCAGAGGGCTCCCTAAACAACTTCACTCTGCCTCCTTCAAGTCTCCTCTTATTTTTATGATCAAGCTGAAAGGAAAAGATATGGCACTGCACAGAGATTCTACAAATGAACATATAAAACTAGTAACGTTTTCAGTTAACTGTGTTCCTGGCAACTTCTTTCTAAGTGCTTTCAGCATTCTACCTTTAATCACACCTTTAGTAATACACAATTCTTATGTCTAGTTACAGAATATTCAAGTATTATTTGTTTGCAACATTTTGCCAGTACCAGGCCTCTAACAGAAGTAAGCTTCTTTCAAATAAAGTCCTGCAGTTACTAAATTTCAGGTCAACATTTTATCTTAGAAAAATAAAAGGAAAAAAATGGGAAAGGGAATGTATGGAGGGAGAGAAACAGAAAAATTATGAGAGAGGGAGAGAGAGAGACAGAAAACACAGCAAAGAGATAAACACTTATAGACAGACTATGCCATTTAAAAAGAAATATGAAGTAATTTTTTAATAGAAGGAATGATCTTCTAAGCAAGAGTCAAATGGCCAGGCATGTATAAACCACATTATTCCTTTTGGATCAGCCTTTCCCCCTCTTATAGTATATACTCAGTATAGATTCTGTGTTAGGGACCAGAGAGTGTTTGAGGTAGTCTGACGCTATAAAATTTGCTCTCTTTCTTCTTGAGCAACAGAGTTTTAGAGCTTGTCTAAATGTTGAGAAAGGGTACTGGTGCAAGTTAGGATGAAAATAAATGCAATGAGTCTAATATATTTAGGGGAAATAATGTAGATCTCAAGAAGAGAGCGAGTTGGGAACAGTGGTAATATGGGAACAATAGCTGAGTCAAAAAGAGAAAGAATACAAAAAATAATAACATTAAGGAGGAAAGTAGAGATGTTTCACTTGTCACCATTCACCTCTGGAACATGTCCCTTTGTCCCATGTCATCCTCAAGCTGAGACATATTACAAAGGAGTTAGTCGTGAGGTATGGGCACAACCATAGCAATCAAAGTCTCAATAAATTAAAAGTCTATGACAGCAGGTTGCAAAGAGTCCTTTGAAAAGTTTAAATGTAGCAAGCAGTTTTTTTTGGGTGGGGGAGGGGAGTCATACTATCTGAAAGTTAAAAGATGGAATTAGGCTTCCTCAAGTTCTTTCCTCCGTCTACCTTCTCTTGTTTTTTATTTCTCAACTTAGCCAATACTTTGTTAGTGCTGACATCAGGAGGTTCTTCCCAATAGCTTGGGTTAATATCACACTAGCTTTTAGTACTGCAGCAGAAAGTACATCCTTAGTTTTCAACAAAATCCCTCAATAAAGTCTCAGTGGTATACTTAGTTCACATGCCATCCATGCACAAAGCATTGGTCCTAGAGTATATGCGTTTGTTTGAAATGGTCCTACCTAGGCCAGGTGACTATTCACAGAGCTCAATATGGACAGCCCATTCTCCATACAGGAGCCAGGAAGATCACTTTGATTGTGATACACATTGTTCCAATTACAGCCCTCCTCTCATTCCTCTCCCATGTAGATTTCTCGTCTTACTTAGAGTAAAAATCATATTGACTGCCTGGCTCCAAGGCCACTGTTACCTGTCTGATCTCATCTTAATTCACTCTCCTTCTCGCTCACTCTACTCCAATCCCCCAGGCTTCCTAGATGTTTCTTGAACACTCTAGACAGATTCCAGTATAAGGTCTTTTGACTTTCTGTTCTCCCTGTTTAGGACGATCTTTCCCACAAATATCCACAGAACTTATACTCTAGAATCCTTAAAGATTTTTCAGTCTTTCTTGAGCCCCCTTGTTTGCAATTGAAGCTCCCCTTGTGCACTTACTCCTTTCTATGCTTTAGTGTCTCCCAGAAAACTTATCACAAACTAACAAATTGCGCTTTTTTCCCCACTAATTCAATTTCCTATCTGTGTCACCTCAACTCTCACTAAAATGTGTAAGATTTTTCAGAGCAAGCAAGCACTAGATCAGTAGGAAACATAGTATCAGTATTCAGTAAACTATATATTGAATGATTGAATCAGTAAATGCATGAAAGAATTTAATTATTTGGGTGGGGAATTTTGACTGCATAAGGCTCAACTAAAGGGAATTCAAGTAGGTCAGGTACCATGAATGCCTTGTGCTCTTTTGTATACACCTGCTTATATCAGGAACTGTTTATAAGCCTACTTTAATTAATACAAATTGGAATCTCCTTTTTTATTCATCAGTTTGTAGAAAACTACAAACTGTTGATAATTTGTTTTATCATCTAATCTGGATTCCCAACTCCTTGTGCTTGAAAGGTAGAAGAAATGATAATAGTTCCTTACAGATTTCTGAGACTAATAAGTGAACTTATGCGTGCAAAAGGAATTCACACAATGAAAGTATTAATAGAAAGAATTATTATTACAGACACTTATCACCACTTAAAATACATTTTAAATGTATGTTTTACATATTCAAAATATATTATACCTATAATTATTCTACTCAGAAATCCAAGTGCAAAAGTAATGTTATTTTTGTTTTATTTTCCTTGCTTAGGGGATCATGGACATTGAAGCATATTTTGAAAGAATTGGTTTTAAGAACTCTAGGAGAAAACTGGACTTGGACACGTTAACTGACATTCTCCAGCACCAGATCCGAGCTGTTCCTTTTGAGAACCTTAACATGCATTGCGGGGAACCCATGGAGTTGGACTTAAAGGCCATTTTTGATCTCATTGTGAGAAAGAACCGGGGTGGGTGGTGTCTCCAGGTCAATCAGCTTCTGCACTGGGCTCTGACCACAATTGGTTTTGAGACTACACTGTTGGGAGGGTATGTTTATAACACGACAGACAACAAATATAGCAAAACCATGGTTCACCTTGTACTGCAGGTGAACCTTGATGGTAGAAGCTATATTGTTGATGCTGGGTTTGGAAGCTCCTACCAAATGTGGCAACCTCTGGAGTTAATTTCTGGAAAGGATCAGCCTCAGGTGCCTTGCATCTTCTGCTTGACAGAAGAGAGTGGAATCTGGTACCTGGACCAAATCAGAAGAGATTCATATGTTCCAAATGAAGAATTTCTTGATTCTGATCTCCTGGAAAAGAATAAATATCGTAAACTCTACTCCTTTACTCTTGAACCTCGAACAATGGAAGATTTTGAGTCTGTGAATGCATACTTGCAAGAATCTCCAACATCTCTGTTAAAAACCACATCCCTGTGTTCCTTGCAGACCCCAGAAGGAGTTTACTTTTTAGTGGGCCTCCACCTCACCTCCAGGAGATTCAGTTATAAGGATAATACGGATCTGGTAGATTTTAAGACTTTGAATGAGGAAGAAGTAGAAGAAGTGCTGAAAAATATATTTAATATTTCCTTGGAGAAAAAGCTTGTGTCCATACATACTGATCGATTTTTTACTATTTAGAGTAAGAAGCAAAATAAATCCTTGGGTATGTATCATCCAGCTCACCATTCATCAGCTGATGACCTATTAGATATTCTCTATACTCTCACATTATTTTGAAGAAAATCCTAGACATCAAATTATTTCACCCATAAAACTGTCAGCATATGTAATTACCTAGCTTTTTAAGGAAGTAACAGCTCACTTATTAAATTAATAAAAATAAAGATGTTTTAAGGACGGCCTGTGATTATCTTGGGAACCAGAATGATTTGTGCTAGAAAATTTTCAATATTGGTTTATTGTTGAATTCATAGAAAAATTTTAGTGGTAGATAGGTAAATAAAATATCATAGGAAAACTTATTGTCTATAAAGTATATTAAACATTGTTGGCTAATGGACTAGTATAATGTGAATCACAGTTTCTTTTGGAAGACTTAAGATGTCATGGAGCTAGGGGATTTTTCCTCAATAGAATCTTCCTCTCATCTTTTATTTTGTCTTCCAGTTACGTTATTTTGCTTCCTTCCATATTTTGCCATAAGAGAAAGAACTTAAACTTCTTTGTATAGATCTGGGTTGAAATGCTGTAGATACTGGGTGAATTACCTTTTAAATATATAGCTCTGATTTCTCAGAGGTAAAATAGGGATATATAATTCAGTGCCAGACCTAGAGTAAATACCCAGCAAATATTTATTATATGGATGATTAATAATGTCAGTAATGTTTTTGGTACTGGATCAGCATTTAATTCAAGTTTTTCTTCCATAGTGTTCTATTTTCCCTCAAAAGTGTTTGTGCTTTCATCTTGCTTTATTTTCCTGTAGCTTGAATTCTGGCCCCACTGTCATCTGCTTGCTCCTTACATGATTAAATATTGTAGAATATCAGATGCCACAGATGTAACAATGTGTCTGGTCCTTCAGAATCTGAATCCCTACTTCTCTATAACTCAGACTTTTTGTTTGTGGATTCCAGTATCAGAGCTAGAATTTAAACTGCAGACTTGTTCTTACATTCTTCTTCCTTTTCAACTTATGATCGTTGTAATAAATTTAAGAGAAAGGCAGGGATTCAAATGGAGAAATTTAAGTTAAGAGAATAATTTACATTGGAGCATGGGTATTTTATGCAGTGATGTAACAACTGAGACATACTGGTGTGGATGAATTTTCTAGCAAGAGGTGATATGAGACCTAGCCTTAGTAGAAAGGATGAAAGATATATTTCAATATTTGACAGCTTTCCATCTTCCTTGCTGTATTGGTCCTGTTCAGCTGGGCTGCCATTTCATGTCAAGTCATGTCTGGTATCTTGGGCAGAAAAGACTTTCTCACATTCTGACCAGGACCATGCCAATGGAGAAGTTGGCAAGAAACTCCAACCAGAACAAGATTTGTCTCAAGGAAAGTTATACAGTTTTGTACAAATGAGTCAATGAAGTTAAGTTGCATAATGAGTATCCTCAAACCCAATGCAATTATATTTTCTTGAATATATCTATCACATATTTTAAAAAACCCAAATATGTTCAAAGAGATTCAAAGATATAAATGTTAGCTGCCAGACTGAAGACTCCTGCTCTTCATACGCAAGTTAACTTTTCTGAAACAAAACATAAATATCTGAAGGAGAAGAATCTCATCATTTTATTTTTGCCAGATTTTTTACTTGGTTATTAGTTCTTTGTGTTTGTTTAACTACTGTGTCTTTTTTTTTTTTTTTTTTTTTTTGGTGGTCCCTTGACAATTAGGATGTGCCATGTCCTATCAGAATCCCAAGACGAGTAAGTTATATCTACCTTACTCTAGATATAGCTGGAAAAGCTAGGATGCTGGATGTATATTCCAATTCCTTCTATTCTCACAGTGAGCAATTTACCTCCCACTCTACACTAAGCCAAGGAGAGATTGAGGCAAATGCCTGCACTAGTGTTCAGGCTATATTCTCTGATCCCAGGGAGACAGCTGCTTGAATTTGGCCCATTGTTTATCTACTTTGTTTTTTTGTGGACAGGGTCACTCAGGAATGCAAAGCCTCTTTGACTCCCAGAACTAGGTAATTAAGGAGACAATTTCTTGGGTGGGAGCTATAAAAGTGTGGTCCTTGGTATGTTGATAAACTCCTTCAAGGAAACATGAGTAGACCAGGATTTATTTCTGGGACCAGCTAGAGGAAAGGTTCAGGAAGTGCCAAGCTCTGGCTCAGGCTGTCAGAGGGCTATGGTTTGTCTACTCCATTAGCTCACCAGTGCAGGTTCATTTGAATTCGGGTTGTCAAGTAGCCACTGGAAGAATACGCAGTAAACCCATTCTGGAGAGAAAATAGGAGCTTCACATTCTAGTCCCTTTTCTGCACTGTACCCTGGAGATGTAGCACCTGGAAGTGCTCACACACCCATTGGAAGCCACCTCTTTGCTTTATGGTCAAGACAGACTTACATATACCTCATCCCTTCCACTTGCAGAGCTAGAGGGTTTTTAGGATGAAGTCATTCAGGTGGTAGTTACAAAAGTTGAAATGCTTAATGCATGGCATGAACATTTTCGTTTTCTGCTAAGAAACCCTGAGCTGCATTTTTGGAGCACCTTCCCTGCACTGATTCCAGAAAATAAAGCCCTTTTGGGGTTTGCATGCTCATATAAAACCACCCTTTTTTAAATGTGGTATATAGAAACTTCATATGCCAGGTTCCCATTATTCCACAAACTAGGGGGTTTAGAATACAGTCCCTCATGTGGAGGCTGTGAAATTTGAGACACTCGATGTGAGCACGAACTCTTCCAGGAAGGATTAATAAACCTGGAGTGATCACTGGTGTGATCCAAGGGAGAAGGCTCAGAAAGTGCTGATCTGCTTCTCAAGTGGACTACTACTTGTCTGTTCCTTTACTCTCCAGTGCAAGCTAGTTAGATATAGGCCACCAAGTAGCCACTAGAAGAGTGTGTCATAAACCCAATCGAGGAAGTAACAGAAAGATGCAATTTTTTTCTTTTTGAATTGGAGTCTTTCTTTGGCACCCAGGCTGGAGTGCATTGGCACAATCATAGCTCACTGTAGCCTCTACTTCCTGGGCTCCTTCCACCGTAGCCTCCCAAGGAGCTGGGACTATAGACATGCACCACCACACCTGGCTTTTTTTTTTTTTTTCTTCTGTAGAGATGGCATCTTGCTATGTTTCCTAAGCTGGTCTCAAACTCCTGGCCTCAAGCAATTCTCCTGCCTCAGTCCCCATAATTGTTGGGATTACACTTTGAGCCATCATGCCCAGCAAAGTTGCTGTTTTTTGTTTTTGTTTTTGTTTGAGTCAGAGGAGTGCAGTTGCACGCTCCTGGCCACAGCAGCCTTGACCTGCTGAACTCAGGCGACCCTTCCACCTCAGCCTTCCAAGTAGCTGGAAAGTTGTATTTTTTAAGCCCCTCTTGTGCATTGCTCCTGGGGAATAAAAATCCCTGGAAATGCTTGTGCACCTGTATAAAACCACTACTTGTTCCTGTGATTTAGAGAGACTGTGTATGTCTAATCCCCTCCACTCCAGATCTAGGAGGTTTAGGATGCAGTCCTTAGGTAGAAGATATAATAGCGGAATGCTCAACACGTGAGAAAACTCCTTCCAGTAGGGATCAATACATCTAGAGTTATTGCTGACAAAACTGGGAGAGGCAGTTGTCTTATCTAATGTTTAGAAACCAACACCAAGGATCAACAAAAATAAAGAAACAGGGAAATATATTCCACATGAAAGAACAAAGTAAATATTCAAAAACTGACACAACTGACAGGGAATTCAAAATAATGGTTATATAGATGCTCACTGAGGTCAGCAGAGCAATCTAAGAACAAACTGAGAATTTTAACAAGAAAATGGAAAGGAAAAAAAGTATAGAGTTAAAGGATACCATAACTGAACTGAAGAATCCAATAGAAGGGTTCAATAGCAGACTAGAACATGCAGAAGAAAGAATCAGTGAACTCAAAGACAGGTCACTGAAAGACATTCAATTTGAGGAGCAAAAAGAATCAAAGAGACTAAAGACAGTTTAAGAAACCTATGGAACACCATCAGGTGAAACAACATACACATTATTGATGTTCTGGAAGAAGAACAGAGAAAATGACATTAAACTTATTCAAAGAAGTAATGGCAAGGAAGTTCCCAAACCTGTGGAAGGAAATGAAATTCTGATCCAGGAAGCCTGTAGACATCAAATAAGGTGATTTCAAAGACACATACACTGAGAAAGATTATAATCAAATTGTCAAAAGTTAAAGACCCATATAGTGATATTCCATCTCTACAAAAAAAAAGTTACAAAATTTGTTGGATGTAGTGGAGCACCTGTAATCCCAGCTGATAGGGAAAGTGAGGCAAGAAGATTGCTTGAGCCTAGGAGTTAGAGGGCTGCAGTGAGCCAAGATGACACCACTGAACTCCAGTCTGAATGGCTGTGCAAGACTGTCTCAAAAAAAAAAAGAGGAAAAGTTAGAGACAGAGAGAGAGCTTGAAAGCAGCAGAAGAAATGCAAGTTGTTACGTACAAGGGAACTCTGATGACATTATCAGCAGATTTATCAGCAGAAACTTTGTATGGTACAAGGGAATGAGATGACATATACAAAATCCTGGGGAGAGGAGGAGTCAAACAAGAATACTAAACCCAGCAATCCTGTCTTTCAAAACTGAAGGAATGATAAATATTTTCTCACACAAACAAAAACTGAGTTTATCACCACTAGACCTGCGTTAAAAAATATTTTAAAGGAAATTATTTAAGATGAATGATTAGGATGCTAATTATAACCTGAAAACATATAAAAGTATAAAACTCACTGGTAAGAGTAAAAACACTGCCAAATCCAGAATACTCTAATACTATCATGACAATAGGTAAATCAATTATATCTTTAGTATAAAGGTTGAAAGTCAAAGCTATTAAAAATGACTGAAGCTACAATAATTTTTTAAAAGATATGAAATAAAAATGTATAAATTGTGGCATCAAAACCTAAAAATTAGGGGGGAAAGGAGTAAAAGTGAAGATGTTGTGTTTGTGATTAAAATTAAGTTGTTAACAGCACTATTCACAATATGCAAAACATGGAATCAGCCTAAGTGTAGATCAATGGATGAATGATTTTTAACATTTGGTAACATATACACAATTGAATGTTGCTGAATCATTAAAAAAATGAAATCTTGTCACTTGAATATTGCTG